TAAATCCATCAAGTGTTATTATAAATAATGGCATATAGTAGACATGTCCCATGCAGTAAATAGATGTGTAACCCGAGATGTCTGCCATATAAATTGATTTATTTAAAAAATAAAAATTTGAATTATTTTTAAGAATGGTTATTATTTCTATTGCACTATACATTAAAACAGATTTCAAGGATAAATAACAACATGTTTTTCCATGCACTTTTCATATCTCGGGTTACACAGCCATTCACTGCATAGGACTTGTCCATTATATGAATTATTTATAATAACACTTGATGGATGCCTTCATTTACAAGACTGAATATTCATATTAAGCGTTAAATTTGCCTTTGCCTTTTGACTTAAACATTTCATAAACCTATTACAGGAACTCCACTGAGGTTTATAAGCTGAAAAACATGAAATTTTATTTTTTCACATAAAAAACATGAGCACTAAAACATAAATATTAATAAAATATAACCAAGAAATATAGAAGAAATACATTGAAAATCATATGTTTTGTGCTATTCTCAGTCCGATTTGAGTGAAAAGCGTGTAAACTCTTTTCAAATTTGGGTCATTTTTTCACTATTATAATATTCTGGAAAAACGGAGCAAGCTAATCATCGGAAATTTTGCATATAAGTTATTAGTATAGATCTACATCAAATGGAGAAATAATCTCAAAAAATTATTTCCAGTCCCGTCATGTCAAAAAAACCTTAGTGGAGTCCCTTTTATAGGTTTTGCTACCTTTTTATATTAAATTACAGTGCGGTAAATGGAGATCAAGATCTCTAACCTAAGATATATCAAATAATAGAAAGTAATAATGAAAATAATATAATTAGGAAGTATCATGAATAAAGTAATATTCTAAATTAACAAAAAAGTTTTACTAGTTACTGTAGGACAAAAGCGCTGTTTTAAATACATGTAATTGTTTCTTTGAACAGCTTTCAGCGTTATTCGTTCTTGCCGATGAATTGCTGTCGATGTTATCATAAAAAAGAGGCGAACAGCTGATAACGTTACTAAAATTTTGATGACACACAAACTTAAATACCTTATAACTTTAACAGAAAAGCTTATTTGAAGGTATGGTTTGGAATGTTTAATGACAAAATGTTGACGTTTACGAATCGTATGAAAAAAGGATTAATTATCATGAGAAAATATAAGTTTTTGTGACTTCAAACTAAAGGTAAATCTTTCATCTATGGCTGCATGTTAAAATATTGGTAACTTTCCATGCCTTTCCCTTAGAAAAACATGGCAGAACATACCCACTGAGCCAGTTTTTTTGTCATATGAATAGTTTTGTAACAAAAAATGATGTAACATTTATTTAAATGGGAACTGTAAATATATTTACCTGCAGCCATAGACAAATGCATAAGTTTTCAGAAAATGTATTATTTTACTGATTTTGATATCTGGTTAGTAAGTTTTACTTGCTACAAGTTTTAAGTTTAGCAGGCACGCGTGAAATTTTAACTGGCTAGGAAGAAGCCTATCTCTGTTATCTATGTCTCTGTTAGAATATGATTTTTAATAAAGTAAGAAAATGCATTTAAATACAATGTATGTCAAAACAGATCCAGATAAAATAATATCCTTTTTTCAGATGTATTTATAACCATCTTTGTTTTTTTTTTATCATTTACTGCTTCAACTGCTTGTCATAACGAGGCTTTGAATCTTGGCTATCGATTTCATCTTCATTGGCCTTGTATTGCTTTACGGTCGTGACTTGCTCTAATAAAAAGTAAATTTAATCTGCAGAAACTATTTTAAGGCTTTGTTCTAATCTGATAAATGTGAATGTATTAAAATGTTGATTTATATTTAAACAGGTGAACATTTGGTTGGACCATTTGACGAGTGTTTCTGCCAACAGAAAACGGGGCAAGGCAAAGGCGTCCGTGACACGGTCTTTGAAAAAGGTATTCAGGCACGATGACATTATGAGTTGAATTTCATAAATGATTGCCTCAACATTAAATGAGTCTGAGGCCAAAAAAAACTCTTTTTTCTCAAAGCCATACAAACCATAAGGGGTATTGCACTTCTGTGGTCTAAATATGTGTATTTTATCATTGACATGGTGGGGAATCATTGATATGGTGACCTGTGAACTTAAAGTCCCATTATGCATTTGTAAACTTTATTTGAAATAAAAGAGTATTCAGTTTCACACCAATGACATGAAGTAGAATTCTGATGTAAAAATTTGCATTTGATTTCTTAAAGACATGAAAGAAAATCTTCGAAATACGCTATAAATATATTGCGCTCATGTAGCGCAAATGTAATAATTGGAGGTATGTTTGGATGAAAAAATAATTTCTGAAGAATAGTAATGCGGAAATGAGCCATTTTCTTCAATAAGAGGATAAGTATGATATGTTTATTCAGTAATTGAAATTTTACTCACAAAAGCATTATGTTTCTTTAAACTTAAAATTGGTGGATTCTCCTGAAAAAGCACAATATTGTTTATAATGTCACTGGGGGCTACTGCAAGTCCTGTCAGTTACGCATACTCCAAAATATTTTCTGTTAAACAAAGATATTGAAAAAAATTCTCACATGGACACCAGAATCTTAAAGATTATCAATTGCTGCAATACCATGTCATGTGGTCTCCATATCACGTGATTCCCCACCATAATTGCAAGATTAGTTTGATAGACTTAGTACCAGCAGAATTGTTAGAAAATAATGTGTTTTCAAAAAAACGAAAAACAAAATTCAGTACCATTTTTGTTCCAATAGAATTAAAAACAACCTACTGTTTTATCTATCAAAGATATATATTTGAAATCTTTGTTAAGTTGTGCTACTAAATTATTAATTTTTAAACAATCCAAGTTCAAGCTTCTATCCAGGCCCAAGCTCCTATCAAGGTTCAAGCTCCTATATATCCCGACTCAAGCTCCCATCCAGGCTCCTGCTCCTATCCAGGCTCTTGAGGAAAGTGCACCAGATTGCGAGTACACCATGCAACTTAGCTTAAGAAAATTATGTCAGTTTTTTTGTAGCTTTGTGTTCATTGTGAGCTATAATTGTCGTTTCTCCATGAAACTTGGTCAAAATGATTGGCTGAAATCTCGGCAAAGTTCAAGGTTGGGTCATGTGGGGTCACTAGGTCAAATCTTAGAAAAAGAATGCAAACACTTTAGAGGCCACATTTTTGGCCCATTCGTCATTAACCTTAGTGTAATTGTTCAACTCTATGAAATCTAGAACATGTTCAAAATTAGGTCATGAGCGGTCAAAAATTAAGTCATTAGGTCAAATCTTAGAACATGTTTGGTCCAATTTAAATGAAACTTAATAAATTTGAAACCTTAAAGATTATAAAAATGCCCTCTATTTCAGAAAAACAATGTGGAAGTGTCCAGGTTTGGCCGCAGGAGGAGGAAGAATGTCCTTTTTAATGACTTTTTGTGTTAAATGTTAAAATAAAATAAGAAGTTAAAGTGTTGTAAGTTTTTAGCTCATCTGAGCTGTGAGCACGAAGCTATTGTAATCGGTGAATGTCTGTCTTCGCAAATCTGGTGTCCTCAACTTTTAGTGTTTTAACACTCTAAGAGGCCACAGATATGGTTCAATTATAATTAAGCTTAGTCAGCATGCTTACCATCCCTACAGAAACTGGGTCATGTGGAGTCAGAAACTATGTTAGTAGGTTTATTTTGTACATGTAGCTAAACTATAAATGTAAAATATTAAAGAGCTTATACGATCGATTGTGTGTCCGTGTCCGCAATGGTTTTTTTAAGTCATACATTCTATTCTATGAAAGATATTCAATCGAAACTAAGTACGGTATTTAGTGGGACTACCACTACCATACTAAGAAGGCCTTTAACCTGGATGCATTATTTTCAGAATTATGCCCCTTTATTACTTGAAAATACCCATTTTATCTTTTCAAAGTCTAATTATTTGAATACTATCAAAGTTATTAAACTACAATTGATACATATATACTCATTGGGAGTGACTATACCTACCTTACTTCAGAGGCCCATTAATCTGGACTCTTCATTATTTTCCTAATCATAAGCCTTTGACTTATATTTTTCATTGTTTTTCCTGATAACAAGTTTTTTATTTATGATTGATCTCTTAGATATTTACCCTCTCCCCTACCCCCCTGGGGCATTTGATGCACCAAGCAGGCTCAAGGGTGGGGATTTAAAAAAAATGGTTGTCTCTAGGTGGGGATTAGACTTCAAACATTTAAGATGTCAAATCCCCTGGGTCAGCCAAGCCGCCCCCCGCGGCGGGCAAAATATGATAGGTGCATTATGCTTACTGTCAACTGCTAGTGGCGTACTGTAACAATGCGAACTATAATATCGCTATCTGGTCACTTCGTTGTCGATGCGCAGTGATCATGTATTGCATTATATTTGTAATCTGTGAATATATTGAACCATTTGAATGCTAAGACAGAGCGAATTCGCCAAGTATTGCTCAAAATCAATTATTAATTGTGAAATAGTGTCGACAATGTAAGTGGCAGATTTATAACAAATTAAAGGTACCGTCAGGAACTTGCCATTTTACATCTAGTTATATCAAGAACAAGCAAAGAATGTTCTTTTAAACACCGAACATAATACGCTGTTCTAAATAAAAGATGAAAATAAACATAAAGCATATTAAAATATGTGAGTTTGATGGTTCAGAAAGGAACACATGAAGTTGCAATTACATAATAGTGCATAAAGTCATCATAATGCAAGATTGTATTCGGCAAAACGTAGGTTCCCATCGTCATAAAGAAGTATGGAAGCAAGCATAATGAAAGTCACAATATCATCAAGCAAGATGGAATAAATGCACTAATTCTGTTCCATACACTTCTAAAAAGTATATGGGAACCATATTAGGACAGGGAACCAGATTACGCTTTGCTACAGGGAACCAGATTACGCTTTGCTACCAATCGCAACTACTCGGCCCTTTCCGTCAGTCTTAGGAGTAATTACAGATAATAGCCGAGGCAGTTCCGAATGATATGTCAAAAAACATGTGGCGCGATTTGAAACATCTCAAATCATGTAAGTATTTATTTTACCATAATTAAAAATAAAAAAGATGGTCTGATATCACATAGCGATCAGAAAACCCATTACACGCCATGATCCTGAAGGTCATACTTACTGTATAGTTCATATGGATGGAATTGGCTTAACATTGAATTATATACAAATTTCTCGTGCACAACCTGGCGACTGAAAGCACAGACACTTGGGGGTTATGTGCATGGGGTTATGTGCATGGCTCCCACTTGTTTACACCATGCCTATTTTTATCATGCAAACCGTACATCAAAATATTTTTGTATATTATTACGACCTGGTCACATGTCTTGAACATAAAACTTGTTTTCCGCTATATTAACAACATTTAAAAAAGTCCCTAAAATATAATAATTTCATAAAGATATCTAGTACGCTTTCTTTGATGTGAGACGACTGGAATGAGTTTCGGCACTGTTTTGCGCTTTCATTTTCATGCCGAGAACCAAAATCCCCACAGCAGTTAAGTATTCCCCTAATCAGCAGGTCTAGGATTTCATTATATTTACGGACAGTGTGTAAATTTTTGGACAATCCATAATTTTACAGATTTTCTTATCTGTAAATTTACAGACATTAAGTAAGAAAATAGTAGAAGTTGCATTGAAATTTAAAACCGCATGTTTAAATGAATAAGGTTAGGTATTATATGATTAAATGTAACAGTTTGCTAAGATTCAGAACAGTTTGACGACTTTCAATTTTCACTTTTAACAAAAATTTCAAAATCATCATACAAAGATGAAACTCACCCCATTACCTTTGTAAATATAAACAATCAATAAAACAACTTGCCTTTAGCTGCGGATTTTATTGTAAAACTAAAAACAGCAAATTTCACATTGAATATCTGTAAATTTATGGATTGAAAAATCTTTAAATTTCTAGACTGTCTATAAATTTACGTACAGTCCATAAATATCATGAAATCCTAGACCTGATCAGTAAAGAAACGGTAACCAAATTAAGAAGACTGACGGAAAGGGCCAAGTAGTTGCGATTGAATTTCTTTTTCCCAGCGATTTTCCCGCTGTAATTCACGGGAAACATTCCAGTTGTCATGAATTCGTAAAGAAGCATTTGACAGGATTAGGAAAATGTAATTTAATACATGCATTTTAGCTTGGAAGAATTAGGTACGACTGATAAAACATGATTTAGTTATAAAGAAAATATGCACGACTTGATTAACCAGAAATAAAGCATGCGATAACATGAAACTTGAAAATATAGTAGTCAGTTGTTCACATTGCTTCAGAATTATTGAACGTGGAAAAAATTGACTTTTAAAAACGTTAGATCTATTCAAACTTCACGTAAGACCACTTAACCGCAACTAAATAACACAAAATTTAAAACCAACTGAATAAACAATACTTTTAAGGTTAATACAGGGGGGGGGGGAGAAGGGCGGGTCCAATTAAACCTGCCAAGTTCTGTGACTGAAATCAATAATAAGAAAATTGTACATTTAAAAATGTAAATGATTCTGTTAAAAAGGTATGTTAGACACAAAACATATCATTTCAAATGAAATTAAACTTATGCAAAAGAGGTTTAGGGATTCGAGTTCATTCGGCCAATGCGAGATAAATAACAACAAAATGGCAAGATGGAACTTTTGTTTGAAAATCCTAGTGAGAATTCTGTTATCTGTTATCAATGGTCAGCATCTTGTTTGTCACATGATGTTCACACCTAATTTAAAAGAGAAACACATCAGTTTGAACTGTGAAGACAGTGACGAATTGAACGAGTTGAATAATATTGTTTAGGCCATCCAAAAAAATGTTGTTGCAGTAAACCCCCAGAATTTTCAAGGTTGGTAGGTAAGGCCGATTTTTATTGACGTACTCCAAATAAACAGAATCAAATCGACAATATAATTGCCTTGAGAATCTGGTAACAATTAAAAATTGAAAGAATCAATTAATAAGACCGGCAATTTATCTTCTATTAACCCTAAAGAACGAAAACAAGCACAAGGCATAATTTCGATTCAAAAAAAAAAATTTTTTCTTCCAGACCATGAAAAAAAACTTTTGAGTAGGGGCAAATTTTGTGAGTCGGTCGCGTTACTGCAAACAAACATTTTTTTAAGGATGGCCTTATAAATTTTTTTTTTTCTTTGTGTTTTCTTAATTTCATGATAATAATGTGATAAATCGTTAGATTTATCTGACATCTTTTTAGCTCGACTATTCGAAGAATATGAGAGCTATTGTAGTCGCGTCGGCGTCAGCGTCGGCGGCGTCTGCGTTGGTTAAAGTTTTTTGTAAAGTCAAATATCTCAATTATTACTTGAGATATTCAATTGAAACTTACAATACTTATTTATAGTAACAAGGTACATCAGATTGACAAGTTGGATAACTTTGCCTACAATATTGACAGAATTATGCCCCTTTTTAACTTAGAAATTTTGGTTAAAGTTTTGTGTAAAGTCAAATATCTCAATTATTGCTTGAGATATTCAATTGAAACTTACAATACTTATTTATTGTAACAAGGTACATCAGATTGAAAAGTTGGATAACTCTGCCTACAATATTGACAGAATTATGCCCCTTTTTAACTTAGAAATTTTGGTTAAAGTTTTTTGTAAAGTCAAATATCTCGATTATTGCTTGAGATATTCAATTGAAACTTACAATACTTATTTATAGTAACAAGGTACATCAGATTGACAATTTGGATAACTCTGCCTACAATATTGACAGAATTATGCCCCTTTGGAACTTAGAAATTTTGGTAAAAGTTTTTTTGTAAAGTCAAATATCTCAATTATTGCTTGAGATATTCAATTGAAATTTAAAATACATTTTTATAGTAACAATGTTCATCAGTTTGCAAAATTGCATAACTCTGTCTGCAATATTTGCAGAATTATTTGCCCCTTTGAAACTTAGAAATTTTGGTTAAAGGTCTTCAAAGATATTTACTTGAAACTTTACACATGCACTTAGGGTCATAATTTGAGGGTCATAATTGTATGTCACTGACCAAGTTCCATAACTCTATTTTGCATTAAACCTGATTCATATCCCCTTTTCTACTTAGTCTCTTGGTTAATGTTTACATGCAAGTTTTACATATCTCAATAACTATTAAAGATATTTATTTAAAACTTCACATATGCATTTAGGGTCATAATTGTAGGTCATTGACAAAGATCCATAATTCTATCTTGCATTTAGGCTGATTTTTCTCCTCTTTTTCAACTTAGAAATTCATGGTAAAGTTTTGCTTGTAAGCTGTTATCTAAATAACTACTGAAGGGTTTGTGCCTTTTTTGAGACAATTTTATGCATTCATAATAATAAAGCAGTGGTTTACTTGATAAAACATCTTAATAACAAGCCTTTGTACATTTTCTGTCAAATTTATGTATTCATAGGTAATTAGTATTATTATACTCAATAAAACACCCTTGTGACATTACCTTCCGAACAGTCAAGCCAATACTGTATAATTAGACTCTCTACGGCCTATAACATGAATTTATAATAAAAAATTAGCCCTTTTGTGAACTTAAAAAATTTAACATTATCAAGTCTCTTTTACCATCAAGCACTTAGAATAGTCGAGCGTGCTGTCCTACCGACAGCTCTTGTTTGCTTATGAAGACACTTAAATATAGTAGATTTTGTAGCAAACATAAAAATAGCAAAAAATTTCGAACGTGGGACGGGGGTCCTACCCCATCCCCATTTCTGCAAAACTTGCCCCTGTGCCTGGAAGAATTCCTGGGGAAAGGACTGGGTAGAAATACAGTGCAAAAGAACCGTAACTCTGCCTTTTTAGCTCACCTGAGCACGTCCGTCATCAGTCGTCGTGCGTTGTCAACAATTTCTTTAAACAACATCTTCTCAGAAACCAATGACTACAGTGTCACTACACAGCAACCAAACTTTACAGGAATGATCCTTGGGTGGTCCCCTACAAAAGTTCTTCTTGTTTAAACAGAGCAACAGATAAGGTGCGTATTTGCGTATTTATGCAATTAATTTTATAAAATACGCAATTGATTTTTTAACAATGGGTATCAAAACCCATTAAAAAAATAAAATACGCAATTGTCTTAAAAACCCGTGCGTATTGTCATTTTCATCACCACAAAATTAATCTGTCGTACGCTCGTAGTTTTGGACATATTATATCGATGTGCATGCTATCCGAATATTCCCGAATCAATGCTAACTAATCAACGGTCTCCTGTCTTCGACGGTCCCCGGTCTCCAAAGACCGACTAAGTCATATCAATTAAGCATGAGACCATCGATTTTTCTACTCAGGTTGACGGTCTTTACAGACCGGCAGAGACCGTTGATTTTGCGGAGACTGTCAATAAGTAGGTCCCACTTGTATCAATAGACGCTTTGAAAGCAATATGACGTTGTACAAAAAGGAAAGTGATATGAAACAAAACAAGAGCTGTCGGTAGGACAGCACGCTCGACTATTCTAAGTGCTTGATAGTAAAGGAGCCTTGATAATGTTAAAATTTTTTAAGTTCACAAAAGGGCTAATTTTTTTTATAAATTCATGTTATATGCCTTAGAGAGAGTCTAATTATACAGTATTGGCTTGACTATTCGGAAGGTAATGTCACAAGGGTGTTTTATTGAGTATAATAATACTTATTACCTATGAATACATAAATTTGACAGAAAAGGTACAAAGGCTTGTTATTAAGATGTTTTATCAAGTAAATCACTGAATTGTTATTATGAATGCATAAAATTGTCCCAAAACAGGCACAAACCCTTCAGTAGTTATTGAGATAACAGCTTACAAGCAAAACTTTACCATGAATTTCTAAGTTGAAAAAGGGGAGAAAAATCAGCCTAAATGCAAGATAGAATTATGGATCTTTGTCAGTGACCTACAATTATGACCCTAAATGCATATGTAAAGTTTAAAATAAATATCTTTAATAGTTATTGAGATATGTAAGACTAAGTAGAAAAGGGGATATGAATCAGCCTTAATGCAAGATAGAGTTATGGAACTTGGTCAGTGACATACAATTATGACCCTCCAATTATGACCCTAAGTGCATGTGTAAAGTTTCAAGTAAATATCTTTGAAGACCTTTAACTTATAACCAAATTTTCTAAGTTTCAAAGGGGCAAATAATTCTGCAAATATTGCAGGCAGAGTTATGCAATTTTGCAAACTGATGTACATTGTTACTATAAAAAAGTATTTTAAATTTCAATTGAATATCTCAAGCAATAATTAAAATATTTGACTTTACAAAAAAAACTTTAACCAAAATTTCTAAGTTCCAAAGGGGCATAATTCTGTCAATATTGTACGCAGAGTTATCCAACTTGTCAATCTGATGTACCTTGTTACAATAAATAAGTATTGTAAGTTTCAATTGAATATCTCAAGCAATAATTGAGATATTTTACTTTACAAAAAACTTTAACCAAAATTTCTAAGTTAAAAAGGGGCATAATTCTGTCAATATTGTAGGCAGAGTTATCCAACTTGTCAATCTGATGTACCTTGTTACTATAAATAAGTATTGTAACTTTCAGTTGAATATCTCAAGCAATAATTGAGATATTTGACTTTACAAAAAACTTTAACCAAAATTTCTAAGTTAAAAAGGGGCATAATTCTGTTAATATTGTAGACAGAGTTATCCAACTTGTCAATCTGATGTACCTTGTTACTATAAATAAGTATTGTAAGTTTCAATTGAATATCTCAAGTAATAATTGAGATATTTGACTTTACAAAAAACTTTAACCAACGCAGACGCGGACGCTGACGCCGACGCCGGGGCGACTACAATAGCTCTCATATTCTTCGAATAGTCGAGCAAAAATCGTAAATATTAAAAAGTCAGTTAGAAAACGAACTTGTTAAAAGATATTATGAAATATAACATGAGCATTTTATATAAAAAATAAAACAACTGTGAAATATTCTTGTAGATCTAAATTGTTAATCCTAATTTCATTTTTGATAATCCTGATTTCTTTTTAAAACAGTTTAAATTTTATTGATATTGAAACCCTAAAATTCATATTTTCATAATTGAATACCCAATTGATCTTGAAATCATAGGGTGACGAGTTTTGGAATACCCAATTAAATGGAGCCAATACCCAATTCCAAAGGAAATGATGGAGTAATACCCAATTTACTTTTAAAGCTTATCTGTTGCTCTGTTTAAAGGTACAAGGCTTAGAGCTTAGATAATTGATATATAATATTATCTTTAGGTCCTCTACCAAGATTGTTCAAATTATAGCCCTGGGGTCAAAATTGGCATTGCCCCGCCCCGGGGTCATAGGTTTTCCTTATAAGTAATATGTATAAAATAAAAACATAAAAATTCTTCTTGTCTGAAGGTAAAAGGCTTAGAGCTTAGATATTTGGTATGTAATATCAACTATAGGTCCTTTACCAAAGTTATTCAAACTGTAGCCCTAGGGTCAAAATTGGCCCTGCCCCAGGGGGTCATAGGTTTTCTTTATATGTATATTGTTTATACTTGAAAAAGTCTTCTTGTTTGAAGATACAAGGCTTTGAGCTTAGATATTTGGTATATAATATTATCTGTAGGTCCTCTACCAAAGTTGTTCAAATTATAGCCCTGGGGTCAAAATTGGCCCTGTCCTTGGGGTCATATGTTTTCCTTTAAGGAAAATATATGTTTATAGTAAAAACTTTAAAAAAATCTCTACCTCTGAATTGACAAAGGCTAAAGGTTACATATTTGAGGGATTGTGTCGTGGAACACTACCACGATTGTTCAAATTATAGCCCTAGGGTCAAAATTGAATGGTAACATCACTTTTGCAGGGATAAAAACTAACCATTTAAGCTTGGTGGCCACCTGGGCCACTGACTGTAAAATTTTGGTGGCCCAGTAAATATATTAGTGGACCAACAAATTATGAACAGAAAGGGACTAGCACTGGCAAATTTTTTTTAGCCAATTTTTTGGCAACGAAAATTGCGTGCCTGTATTTTATTTTCAAATAAGGCAGAATGGTACGGCATGAGGTATTTAGAAAAACATAAACTATATTGTCCACTTTTTTATTTTGGTTCCTACATTTTTTATCACATTAACACATCAAACTTATAAAATTTACAGTCAATAATTATAAAAGCTTCCCGCTCAGTAGCTATGACATTTGCCTGGTTAAGTCAGTGGCATGACAGTAACAGCAGAAACACATTCCAATGTGCTGCTTCAGCTTGCTTGGTTAATGACAAAGATTTGGCTTGAAGACTATCTGTATCTGAAATAATACAGAAGAAACAAGTTTGAAAGTAAGAAGAGTGAAGAAAATAATATTGAAAATTCTAAACTAAAGATAATTAAGGAATAAAATCACATGTACTACTGTCATTATAAGAGTATAGGAATCAGTATAAGTTATCTGAAGGCATTTTCTGTTTGTATGTTACTTAACTGAATCTTTCTTTAATATTTCACAGTCATAAGCCATTTATAAATGAATACTTCTGCAAGAGCTTCAGGGGTTACAAAACTTAAATTTGATATTAAGTCAAATCAAGGTCAATCTTTTTTTCCAAGGAATTCTCTGTAAAGCCAAATGTCAAATAAATTTCTTGTAAAGGCATAATTAGGTTAGAATAAAATGTCCCCCCTCATCCAAGCTTTAGTGATGGATGAGGGGCAGTATTGGAATAAAGCCGGAGGCTGAGCATGTATAAATAGCATGTTATCCTAACGCATCGAGTCCACAACGCCGCTTCAACGAACCGTAAAAAACATGACCAAACCATGCGCGCGACCATGTCAACCCCAGAAATCATAATTCAAAGCCCAAAAAATTTGTTGACGTACATAAAAAATAAACTGGGAGGGAAAAAGAAAAAACTTGTAGCACCCAAAAATGGGGGGGGTTTATACATGCTCAGCCTCCGGCTTTATTCCAATACTGCCCCTCATCCATCACTAAAGCTTGGATGAGGGGGGACAGTATTTTCATAATGCCTCAGCTTTCACATGTATAAATAGCATCTTTAAAGATCGGCAACAAATATTTCCATGTCATTAGAAAAAAGAAAAGACACATAATGACAAATCCATAATATTTTATATCAAACAAAATATAAAATTCATATTTCATCAAAAATAATAAATCCAGATTGTCACTTTGAGGAAAAAACAGCTGTAGAAAAAGACAGATCCTCATTTTCAATAATAGGTCTATAATAAAACTTGTAAAAGTTATTGTCCGATTTCCAACCAGCTGTATTCAAGATATTTTTAATTGAACATCTCTGACTTCTTGCTGCTGCCGATACCGAGGCCCCACGAAAAGAATGGGCCTTAAAAATGGCAACATCAATGCCTGACAATTGTAACACTGTCTTTAGCCATCTAGCAATAGTGCTTGATGTAACTGCATTAAATGTTACATAATTGATCAGATAGTCTCAACTGTTCCGTTACTTTGATATAATATAATAATGTATGATATACACACAAACTTTCTTTCCTAAAATGCTCAAATTTAACACAAAAATTATTTTCTTTTCCCACGACTGAAGTCTTCAATAGATGGTTCTAAATAATTTATGGCAAAACTTTGTTCACAAATTAACCAACGACCATTAGCAACTGAACCTGATGAAACATCAACACAAGCCCAGCCAAGTTTACTAGCATCTGTTTGACACGTAAAGGAAATATTTTGAGGTCGTATTCGCTTACCATTCTTGAGACGTATATTTTCAAGCCACCAACGAATTTCAGATTTTGCACCTTCGGACAAAAACACTTTATTGTCAAAATTCATATTTTTACCTAATCCATTAATTTTACATCTTTCCATTTGTCTATAATGAAGAGGAGCTTCTAAAACTGCATGGAAGGCATTTATAACAGACCCTATAAATGAAGCAAGCTCTCTAACAATCACTAACTCACTGTGAATGAGATTATTAGCCTTTGAGAGTATTTTCTCAATCTTTTCCTCTGTTAAAAACACCATAAAAAGAACTGAATCCAAAAGATACCCAAAAAAGACAATTTTATGACTGGGTACCAAACTTGATTTTTTCTCATTAATAACATAGCCTAAAGACTGTAATGTGTCACAAATAATCTTTGCATTTTCTAGACACAAATCTCTATCACAGTTCATATTTAAAGAATCATCTATATAATAGGCACATCTGATGGCTTGAGAACGAAACCAGGCATAAATAGGTTTTAATAATTTGGTAAAGACTCTAGGTGCAGCACTATAACCAAATGGTAAACAAACAAAGGCATATAATGAATCTCTCCAATAAAATTTCAGAAATTTTTGGAACTCTGAATGAATGGGAATGGAAAAGTAAGCATCTTGTAAATCAACTGAACAAAAATAATCATTTTCTTGAACTAAGTCCAAAATTACTTTGAAATGCTCCTGTTTGAAATGTTCATAATGAACAAAATTATTTAACTCTTTGAGATTAATGATTGGTCTATATTTACCATTTGGCTTTTTCACTACAAAAATATTAGAAATAAATTGATCACTTTCCTCCACAGAAGGTGCAATAGCCCCTTTTTTAAGCAAATCTTCAACTTCAGAATCTATAATACTCATTTCTTCTGTATTAAAATTGATTTCCTTTGGTAAAGAATATTGCACAGGATAAACATCAAATTCTAATGAATAACCCTGAACAGTACTCAAAACCCAAGGGTCATTAGAAAACTTTTCCCATGCATGAATAAAGTATCTTAACTTACCTACCGAACTTATTTCTCCCCGTTTGGGGGTGCCGTCACAGTGGCAGACTTAAATGTTCCCTTCCTCATGGGAGCTCTCTGGGAATAACCACCCCGCACCTGTGGATAAGGTGTCATTCTTCCTCTGTTAAAATGCCTTGCTCTAGAAAAACGACCTCTGAAAGAATTCCTATTATACTGTGCGTTATAATCCTTTCCCAGATTAACCCCTACTTCACAATGCTTAATCTCTTTAGAAATATCGTCACCAAAAAGAGAGGTTGAAATAGGGACAGACATGTTACACAAATTTTTATACCTCTTGTTCAATGATGGACGAATCAAATATCTACGTCTGATACTTATGTTATACTGTGCTTGTCCAAGAATTGACAAAGAATCAGATAGTAACTGTTTAGCCTGTGGTTTAGCAGAAATAGAGGTCTTCAAAATCTTAGCCAGCTTAATAATGGGCACCATACCAGCTGCTAACAACGACTGAATATCCTGAAATAGACGGTCATGAGACCGAGAACGTTTATCCATAACCTTCCAAATTTCCATGTTCACCATTGGAGGATTCAACTTCTCACAGTTAGCTGGTACAGGATATTTATCACAAAGTTCATCACTGTCACAAAGTGCGGTGCAGGCAGTATTAATGAGTTTAGCTAAGGAGGAAGAAATTGCCTCACCTTTATTTCTCTGCTTAATTTTAGGCAAGCCCCAATCTTCATCATCACTAACATGGGACACATCGTCCTCTCCAAACATTGAATCAATCAGCCTTTTAGTCATATCTCGACTTCTAGCATGCCTTGCAGGTCTGTGGCCAATACTGTCATCGCTATCTAAAAAATCATTTTCAACTTCAATTTGCATATTAGGTGCTCGGGCCAAATCAACATACTCATTTTCCATATCACTTTGTTCCATAGAAAAAGTGTTAGAAACCTGTGGAGCAGGAAGCCCCAATTTACTACGTAACAACTCTAAATCATCAGAGGATAATTTATTTAAATCAATCAAACTTTTGTTAGCGTTCCTTGATTTTGTCCCCTTTTTATCACTAACAGAGGTCTTTGTTGTCTTAGATTTATCCACATTGGTCGATTTTTTACCAGTTTTCGCGACCTCTTGACCAACTTTTGACACTGAACTTTTAATTCTGCCAGGCCCTTTACCACGGCTCTTATTCTTAACGGGGACATCGTCCTCCGAAAATCCAGAAAACTCTGGACTCTCATCAGAAAGATGTAACACATCTTCATTCTGAACAGATAAATTCCTATTTACCGAGACATCGTCTTCGGACTGGCTCATATTGAAAAAACAACAAAGTCTGGACAACGTCCTAGACAGAGCCAAAAATACTGTATAAGAAATAAAAATAACAAAATAATTTCACGTCAATTCACAAACTTACCGACAAACAAAAAGCCGAGAGCTGTAAAAACAAAACAAACCCTCAAAAACTGCATAAGAAAACGAAAGTAAGCGTAACACGTGTGGACTATTCAACGACGCCAGGAAAACTATGATTTCTGGGGTTGACATGGTCGCGCGCATGGTTTGGTCATGTTTTTTACGGTTCGTTGAAGCGGCGTTGTGGACTCGATGCGTTAGGATAACATGCTATTTATACATGTGAAAGCTGAGGCTTTATGAAAATACTGGCAATCAACCCCCTCCCCCGAAGAAAAAAAAGAAAAAAAAAACATATAAAAAAACAACCATTACTCTTAACCAATATTTTCTTTTGATCTGTTTATCAACAACGATAAGATTTACTGAATGCAAACTTACCGTCAACAGGTCAAGTTGTCAACTGCAGAACATAATTTGTCGCTATTTCATACCCAAACTTCAGATTTGATTAGCGATAATCTTGGGATGCCGCTACTTATAGTTTCATATTAAATATTTAGACCCAATTTTCCAATGCATATTCAACAAACTGCCAGGTATGTTCATGACAATTAGTCTCATATTTATCAGCTGATGTAAACAAACGGCGAGGGCCAGTGTATTAGACTGTGTTACTTTTCATATCGATATTTAATACAGAAGGGGAGATAAAAATATAAACCAGTCAATGACCCACAAGAAGTAGACTGTGTCGCTGTGTTTTGAGATAAGAAGCAGTAAAGCGGAAATTGAAAATGGAAAACCAAATGTGTACTTTTCCATTCTTAAAATAGCAAATGCTAAATTTAGACTGGAGATTCCAAAAGTAATACTGCCAATCGTGATTTTCTTGAGCCAATTTAATAATTTTGGAGCCAATTTGCTCCTTTGATTTTTCACATGAGTTGATTTAATGGCGGATATTAATTTAATCTACGGCCGATTTTTATAGTCGCCGACTGGACGACTATTTTGAAATTTTTGGTGGCCCAATTACAAATTAAGTCGCCGTGGGCGACTGGGCGACCGCTAATTTTCAGCCCTGTTTTGTATATCAATTGCATTTAGTACTCAGGTGAGCGCATTGGGGCCAATGGCTTTCTTTTTTCAATTTTGGAGTAATTGCCCTTTGTTCATTTAAATACTGAACTTTGTGTGGGACATAACTTTAAAACTGTAAAAATATCATCATAAAACTTTGTAGGTAGATAGATCTCATTTGGTAGAAGTGCAGTGCAAAAGAACCATAACTCTGTCTTTGCTTAATTTTAGAGTTGTTGCTTACACGTTGAACTTTGGGACATAACTTTAAAATTGTAACAGATATCAACATTTAACTTTGTAGGTAGATAGTTCTCATTGGGTAGAAGTGCAGTTCAAAAAGTGTCTGCTCAAATGGTCTCATATATTCATCATAAAACACCTCCAGGCAAGGCTGCATGAATGGGGGGTGGGGGAGGGGTTATTGAAGTAATTCAGTGGCAGTTTCAGTTTTGAGGTCAGTAGATCAAAGGTAAAGGTCACTTTGATCTTTTCCACTAAAAACATGTAGAATACATAACTTAGCAATGCACTGCACTGGTGGCTTACATCCCTCAGCTTTGGTCGGGAGGTTGTCTTTTAGCTGTAAATGACTACTGTTGATTCAGACAAATTTGTATGCGGGGGTATTCACGCCATGACAGTAGCAGTTCTAGTTAAGCCTGAACATTTTTTTGAAATTGTATAGATTTATATTATTGTTTTTCATTGTCTTAGTAATGCTTAAATCAAAGTAATTTTTAATCAACCAGTATCTTGCAATTAATTATTACACAGCCGTTTGTCAAAACTACAGAATACTTACATTTTTGAAACTCAAAATATCTCTTGGGTACTGTAATTTAGCGGAGACATAGATATCTGGTATTATCAAGTTAGTAAGATTTAATTGCCTGGTAAAACAAGGTGTGACAATTTTCATTATTTAGAATCAAACGAAAATGGTAAGTTTGATCAGTAAGTTACCCATCCATATGGTCTAGTATTAAAACAAATCGTTAACATTATTATGGTGAACAATAATATTATCTTATTCATTTGACCATCCTTTTTAGCTCGACAATTCACAGAAAATCAAGCTAATGCAGTCACACATTTGTTGGCGTCCCTCTGGTTAAGTTTTTGCTTGTAAGCAAGTATCTCCATAACTACAGAAGGGAAATGATTGAAACTTCACACACTTGTTCTCTGTGATTATCTTACATGATTGGCACAAGTCCAATAACTGATTTGTTTTTTTGCAGAATTATGCCCCTTTTTCGACTTAGAAATTCCTGGTTTAGTTTTTGCGTGTAAGCTGGGATCTCCATAACTACCAAGGGAATGGATTGAAAAGTTACACACTTGTTTTCTGTGATTATCTAATATGATTGGCTCAAGTCCAATAACTCTGGATTACTTTTTTTGCATAATGCCCCTTTTTCAACTTAGAAATCCTTGATGTAAGCAGTATCTCCATAACTACTGAAGGGAATGAATTGAAACTTCACACACTTGTTCTCTGTAATAATTTTATATGATTGGCACAAGTACCATAACTCTTGATTTGTTTATTTCATAATTATGCCCCTTTTTCGGCTAAGAAACTATTGGTAAAGGTTTTGCTTGTAAGCTTGTATCTCCATAACTACTGAAGGGTTTGTGCCTGTTTTGGGAAAATTTTATGCATTCATATTTATAAAGCAGTGATTTACTTTACTCTTAATAACAAGCCTTTGTACCTTTTCGGACAATTTTATGGATTCATATAGGGAAGCATTATTATACTCAATGAAACACACTTGTGACAACTTTCAAATAAACAAGCGTTACTGTCCTCTGACAGTTCTTGTTATATAATATCTAAGTATTAATTACACAAAGTTTTGGCAATTTCAATCTGCCAATCTTACAAGAGAAAGGATTACGATCATTGTATCCCTTTATTAATATACTTAATTGTATTGGCAATGTCCACTGTATCCCCCAATGACGTCATTCAAGGGCGACAACTTGAATCGGGTCTTAAATGTAAAGGTCTAATTAAAGGTCAGCTTTTTGGTCCGTTCGTTGCAGGTCGGTTGGTAGGTCTCCTTCATGGTTTCCGGACAATGACTAATTTGGAATGAGGTATTTTTATTAAACTTGGTATATAGCAACCTTATGTGAAAACCCTGGTTGGTATTGCTGTTGGACCATCCTGAGATCAAGTTAACTGTTACTAAAAATAAAAATAACGGTTTTTGGACAATAACTAGAGTTTGGAATGAGGTTTTGTAATCAAACTTGATATTAACCCACATTATATGAGGACGAGGTTTGAATAGCTTTTTGGCCAACTGGGGTCAAGGCCACTGTTACTTAAAATAGAAAAATGTTTTCTGGACTATGACTTCAAGAATTTGGAATGAGATATTGTAATAAAACTTGGTATATAGCAAGATGATAAGGAGACCCTGTTGGTATTTCTTTTGGACCCCTTGGTTGGGTCAAGGTCAGTGTAACTAAAAAAAATAAAATGGTTTTCAGACAATAACTTGAGTTTTGTATGAGGTATTTGACAAATTTGGTGTTATATGCTTATAAGCTTATATGAAGTCCTAGGTTATGATTGCTTTTGGACCCCCTTGGATCAAGGTCAAGGTTACTGTAAAAAGAGAAAAATTGTTTCCAGACTATTACTAGAATTTGACTAGAAACTTGGCAGGATTGATCCTTGGGTGAAGGTCTTCCAAAGTTGTTTAAAGAATTTCATTCCATGCAGAAATCTGGTTGCCATGGCAACCAAAAGGAATTATAAGAATAAATTTAAAAAAAATTCTTGTAAAGACCCAAAAGGCCTAGAGCTTAGATATTTTGCATAAGGCATTGTCTGGTAGACCTCTACCAAGATTGTTCAAATTATAGCCTGCGTTCAAAATTGGCTCCGCCCGCCCCGGGGGTTATTGATTTTCACTATATTTACATATAGCAAAAACTTAAAATACCTTCTTGTAAAGACTCAAAAGGCTTAGAGTTTAGATATTTTGCATAAGGCATTGTCTGGTAGACCTCTACCAAGATTGTCCTGGGGTCACAGGGCCCTCGATCAACCAAATCTGCGGCTACCCAGATTGTTTAAATTATAGCCCTGGGGTCAAAATCGGCCCCACCCGGAGGTCATTGGTTTTCCTTATATAGTAAAAACTTATAGTAAAAACTTTAAAAAAAAGTCTTCTAGAAATTGACAAATGCTTGAGGTTAGATATTTGGCATGAAACATTGTGTAGTGAACCCCTAGCAAGATTGTTCAAATCATAGCCCTGGGGTCCAAATTGCCCCCGCCCCGGGGTCATTGATTTTCAATATATACATATAGTAAAAAAACAAAAAATCTTATTGTCTGAAGGTTAACAAGGCTTAGAGCTTTAATATTTGTTAATGATATCATCTATAGGTACTCTACCAAAGATGTTCAAATTTTGCCTCTAGTTGTCAATATATGCCCTGCCTTAAGGGCCATAGTTTTTCCTTATATTATGTATATAGTAATAACTTAAAAAATCATCTTCTCTATATTTACAAAGGCTAGAGTTAAGATATTTTGCATGAAACATTGTGTAGTGAACCTCTAGCAAGATTGTACAAATTATAGCCCTGGGGTCAATTTGGCCCTACCCCAGGGGTCCATTGATTTTCACTATGTACATATAGTAAAAAATTAAAAAATCTTATTGTCTGAAAGTACAAGGCTTAGAGCTTTGATATTTGGTGTATAATATCATCTATGGGTCCTCTACTAATGTTGTTTTAATTATGCCCCTAGTGTTAAAATTGCCTGCCCTGCCCCAGAGGCGATAGTTTTCCTTATATGTATAAAGTGAAAACTTGAAAAATCTTCTTCTCTGAATTGACAAAGGCAAGAGGTTAAATATATGGCATGAGACTTTGCGAAGTGAACCTCTACCAAGATTGTTCAAATTATAGCCCTGGGGTCAAAATTGGTTCCGCCCCGGGGGTCATTGATTTTTAACCAGGTTTTCCGAAGGTTATTAGATTGAGGTATAATGTCGATGGGCGGGCAGACGGAGGGACGGGCGGGCATAAACAATTTCTTCTGTGCGCAACTCCTCTTACATTTCTCAACAGATTTTGACCAAACCAGGTTTTCCGAAGGAAAAATTGGTTATTAGATTGAGGTATGTAGGTGGGCCGATGGGCGGGAAGGCCGACGGGGGGGCTTAAACAATTTCTTCTGTGCACAACTCCTCCTACATTTCTCAACAGATTTTGACCAAACTTTCACAGAACCTTGTCATCAAGTGCCCTGGCGCATGTTGTCGGGGTTTTGTGATTGGATAATATTTAACCTAATTATGGCCCTTTGTTTTTTCCTTATACAGGATATATAGTGAACAATTTCTTCTGTAAGCAACTCCTCCTACATTTCACAACAGATTTTGACCAAACTTTCACAGAACCTTTGTCATCAAGTGCTCATCAAGTGCCCTGGCCCATTTTGTCAAGGTTTTGTGATTGGATAATGTTTGACTTAATTATGGCCCTTTGTTTTTCTTATATAGAATATATAGTGAACAATTTCTTCTGTGTGCAACTCGTCCTACATTTCTCAAAGGATTTTGTTCAAACTTTCACAGAAGCTTTGTTATCAAGTGCCCTTGGGCATATTGTCAGGGTTTTGTGATTTGATAATATTTGACCTAATTATGGCCCTTTGTTTGTTTTTCTTATATAGAATATATAGTGAACAATTTCTTCTGTGTGCAACTCGTCCTACATTTCTCAAAGGATTCTGTTCAAACTTTCACAGAAGCTTTGTTATCAAGTGTCCTTGGGCATATTGTCAGGGTTTTGTGATTTGATAATATTTGACCTAATTATGGCCCTTTGTTTCTTTCCTTATATAGAATATATAGTGAACAATTTCTTCTGTGTGCAACTCCTCCTACATTTCTGAATGGATTTTGTTCAAACTTTCACAGAAGCTTTGTTATCAAGTGCCCTGGGGCATATTGTCAGGGTTTTGTGATTAGATAATATTTGACCTAATTATGGCCCTTTGTTTTTTTTCCTTATATAGAATATATAGTGAACAATTTCTTCTGTGTGCAACTCCTCCTACATTTCTGAATGGATTTTGTTCAAACTTTCACAGAAGCTTTGTCATCAAGTGCCCTGGCGCATATTGTCGGGGTTTTGTGATTGGATAATTTTTTACTTTATTATGGTCCTTTGTTTTTTTCAGAATATATAGTGAATTCTTCTTCTGTGTGCAATTCCTCCTACATTATTCATGATTTACATTGCACATACATACAATTTGTTTCTTGTATTTGTATTTCAACTACAACATATTTATCTACAATGGTGATAATTGAAAACCTGGTTTCGTGGCATTGCCATGTTTCTTGTCATTATGTACATATAGTAAAACAAAATAAAAAATATTTTTGTCTGAAGGTACAAGGCATAGAGCTTTGATGTTTACTATATAATATCATCTGTAGGTCCTCTACCAAAGTTGTTCAAATTTTTCCCCTGGTATCAAAATTGGCCCTGCCCAGGGGCAGTGATTCTCATTATGTACACATAGTAAAATAACAGAAAATAAAACAAATGTTTTCTGAATGGGAGAAAGCTACAGCTTAGATATTTGACTTGAAACTTTGATATCAGGTGATCTAGATTTTGATGATGTGACCTACTTTCTTGTCCTTTGATGTACAGCTTTGAAATTTGAACCATGTGCACAGATTAAGATGTAAAGTGAACTTTGATATCAGCTGACCTAGATTTTGACAAAGTGTCTTACTGTGTTGTCCTTTGATGAAGTCATGAAATTTAGGCTGTGTGAAATGACCTTCACCACCAAATTCACTAGACTCAACTGCATTGATAATTTCCTACTCTGATCTTTTATTGGATTAAAGTAACAAAAGATTTAACCACTAATCTGATAATAAGAATTAGATAGGTCAGGGATCTATGCATTATGACAATCTTTAATTGAATAGAAACAAAAAAAAATATGTTCCTACACTTCTATTTAGTGTTGTATTAATGTGGGGGCATAGCATTTTTCTCAAATACAATCTTGTTTTGACAATAACAAGTGTTTGGAATGAGATATGATAATCTTTCTTTGTATATTAAACAAATTAATATGAAGATCATGACTAGTATGGACTTTGGACGCTCTGGGGTCAATGTCACCGTTACTAAAAATTGAAAAATAGTTTCCAGACAATATGAATAAAAGAAGTTAAGAATGAGTTACTATATCAAACTTATTGATCAATTTTTTGTGGAAAGCTAGGTTTGGATGGTACTTGGACCCCATGGGGTCAAGGGTCACTGTACTTTAGTTGGAAATAAGTTAGAGATGGGACAATAGTTAGGAATGAGATATAATAATCAAATTTAAAAGTATATTAAAGTAGGCTTGAGATAATTGAGATAATTCTTTATACACAGTTGGAACATTAACTATAGGTTGTACAAAATTTTTTCAAATCATTCGTTTTCCACATTATCAGATAAACAAGATCAACAAGGAAGGAAGCCAACACAACCCGTTAACACAGGACCACCCACATGGAGCCCAGCAGGATGCCCCCCAAAAAAACAGACCAGAGCACAAGGAAAACCTCAGAAGGGGTGAGTACCTTAATAATACATAATAGGGAATAAAAGACCCTGAAAAGGAAATTAAACAGATGATTTAATTAATAGGCCTACAATAAAGGGATGTAGAGGAAGGGGACTGAAGGTCGGGAGGGAAAGGGGGGTGGCAAAATTAAAATGAATTAAAACTTGGGGCAAAGGAAAGATACTTACCATAGACAAGAAAACAACAAGAAGAGACAAAAAAGTGTCCTCATAATAGTAGTGTGAAACAAATAAGTCATACATCTGAGGAACACAGAGGGGCACCACCTTGGAACAATCAGCAGCATAAGCCCTGCTGGGGAGTTTAAACTGGTTGCTTAGTCAATGTTACTTGTGGGTTTTTTTTACTTCTAGTTACATTTTAAAGGATGGTACCCATCCCTGTTAGGTTAGAAGGTCATAGGTCTCTTAAACCTGTTATAACAAAAAAAATTACAAAAGAAAAGTGCATTTTTTGGGAGACATATTGGTTTTGCCTTAACTATCCTCCGTCCATCCATCCAGTTGCCCGTCTGTCTACATTAAGCTTGTGCGGCCTTTACAGGTCAAACTCCTGGTGGGATTTCAACCAAACTTTACAGGAGTGATCAGTACCATCTGTAGTTGTGCATATCGCCAGCATGTTCTACTTTGCTGCACAAATTTGCCACCAGACTTTAATGTTGTGAATAGTTTAACAACTGTCAAACTTCATATAGGATGATCACTTATATTGAGTACATTAATTATATGCCCTTAAATATTTGTTATATTATGTTATACCCCCTGGTGTCCGTCTGTCCGTCCGTTAGCAATTTGTTCGTAAGCAATTTGGTTTCCTGAGCATAACTTAAGTACCATTTGGCCCACAATGTTCAAACTTCATAGGATGATTGTCCATATTGGGTAGAAGACCCCTATTGATTTTGAAGTCAAAAGATCAAAGGTCAATGTCACTATTACCTTGATACTGAAAACAGTTTACCCCCGTTAGCAATTTGTCTGTTAGCAATTTGGTTTCCGGAGCATAAATTTAGTTCCATTTGGCCCACAATGTTCAAACTTCATAGGATGATTGTCCATATTGGGTAGAAGGCCCCTATTGATTTTGGGGTCAAAGGTCAAGGTCACTATTACCTTAAAACTGAAAATAGTTTCCGGAGCATAACTTAAGTTCCATTTGGCCAACAATGTTCAAACTTCATAGGATGATTGTCCATATTGGGTAGAAGACCCCTATTGATTTTGGGATCTAAATGTCAAAGGTCAAGGTCACTATTACCTTGATACAGAAAACAGATTCTGGAGCATCATTTTAGTTCCATGTGACCCACAATGTTCAAACTTCATAGGATTATTATCCATATTGGGTAGAAGACCCTTATTGATTTTGGAGTCACAAGGTCAAAGGTCAAGGTCACTATTACCTTGATACTGAAAACAGTTTCCGGAGCATAACTTAAGTTCCATTTGGCCCACAATATTTAAACTTCATAGGATTATTGTCCATATTAGGTAGAAGACCCCTGTTGATTTTGGGGTCAAAGGTCAAGGTCACTATTACCTTAAAATTTAAAACAGTTTCCTGAGCATAACTAAAGTTCCATTTGGCCCACAATATTCAAACTCCTTAGGATGATTGTCCAAATAAGGTAGATGACCACTATTGATTTTAGGGTCACAAGGTCAAAGGTTTAGGTCTTTATTAATAACTTAAGTATTAATCAACCTACATCTGTAAAATTTTATAGGATGAACAGCTAATTCCCATGTCTAATAAATGCTTCATCCTCACTAAAAAAAACAAACTTTCGGGCATATAATGCTCTGCCTAGCGGTGCTCTTGTTTTTAACCAGGTTTTGCGAAGGAAAAAACTGGTTATAAGATTGAGGTATGTCGGCGGGCGGGCGGGCGTAAACAATTTCTTCTGTGCGCAACTCCTCCTACATTTCTCAACGGATTTTGACCAAACTTTCACAGAAGCTTTGTCATCAAGTGCCCTGGCGCATATTGTCGGGGTTTTGCGATTAGATAATATTTGACCTAATTATGGCCCTTTGTTTTTTTTCCTTATATAGAATATATAGTGAACAATTTCTTCTGTGCGCAACTCCTCCTACATTTCTCAACCGATTTTGAACAAACTTTCTCAGAAGCTTTGTCATTAAGTGCCCTGACACATATTGTCAGGGTTTTGCAATTGGTATATATTTGACCTAATTATGGCCCTTTGTTTTTTTTTCATTATATAGAATATATAGTGAACAATTTCTTCTGTGCGCAACTCCTCCTACATTTCTTAACGGATTTTGACCAAACTTTCACAGAAGCTTTGTCATCAAGTGCCCTTGCGCATATTGTCGGGGTTTTGCGATTAGATAATATTTGACCTAATTATGGCCCTTTGTTTTTTTTCCTTATATAGATTATATAGTGAACAATTTCTACAGTGCCCAACTCCTCTTACATTTCTCAACGGATTTTGACCAAACTTTCTCAGAAGCTTTGTCATCAAGTGCCCTGACACATATTGCCAGGGTTTTGCAATTGGTATATATTTGACCTAATTATGGCCCTTTGTTTTTTTTCATTATATAGAATATATAGTGAACAATTTCTTCTGTGCGCAACTCCTCCTACATTTCTCAACGGATTTTGACCAAACTTTCACAGAAGCTTTGTCATCAAGTGCCCTGGCGCATATTGTCGGGGTTTTGCGATTAGATAATATTTGACCTAATTATGGCCCTTTGATTTTTTTCCTTATATAGAATCATATAGTGAACAATTTCTACAGTGCGCAACTTCTCCTACATTTCTCAACGGATTTTGACCAAACTTTCTCAGAATCTTTGTCATCAAGTGCCCTTACACATATTGCCAGGGTTTTGCAATTGGTATATATTTGACCTAATTATGGCCCTTTGTTTTTTTTCATTATATAGAATATATAGTGAACAATTTCTTCTGTGCGCAACTCCTCCTACATTTCTCAACGGATTTTGACCAAACTTTCACAGAAGCTTTGTCATCAAGTGCCCTGGCGCATATTGTCTGGGTTTTGCGATTAGATAATATTTGACCTAATTATGGCCCTTTGATTTTTTTCCTTATATAGAATCATATAGTGAACAATTTCTACAGTGCGCAACTTCTCCTACATTTCTCAACGGATTTTGACCAAACTTTCACAGAAGCTTTGTCATCAAGTGCCCTGGCGCATATTGTCGGGGTTTTGTGATTGGATAATATTTGACCTTATTATGGCCCTTTGTTTTTTTTCCTTATACAGAATTGAACAAATTCTTCTGTGCTGAACTCTTCCTACATTTCTCAACGGATTTTGTTCAAACTTTCACAGAAGCTTTGTCATCAAGTGCCCTAGCACATATTGTCAGGGTTTTGTGATTGGATAATTTTTTACCTAATTATGGCCCTTTGTTTTTTTTCCTTATACAGAATATATATAGTGAACACTTCTTCTGTGCGCAATTCCTCCTACATTATTCATGTTTTACATTGCACATAGTTACATTGTTTGTTGCTTGTATTTGTATTTCAAATACAACATATTTATCTACTATGGTGATAATTGAAAACCTGGTTTCATGGCATTGCCATGTTTCTTGTTATTATGTTATACCACTGGAATCTTTCTGTCCATCTGTTGTAGCATTTTTACTTACAAGATAACAACTTGATGTTGGTGCTTTGGAAACAGCAACTGTATATACAATGTATATGAAGGTTCTTCTTAAAGAAAAACAGTACACTTTTTGGCATAAAATGCTCCGCCTAGCTGTGCTCTTTTTATTATTATACCCCCAAAAACCAAGTTTTGGGGGGTATATAGGAGTTACCCGGTGGTCGGTTGGTCGGTCGGTCGGTCCAGACGTCCGTTGCATTTTCCTTGTCCGGAGCATAATAACTTGAAGACTAATGGTTGGAATTCAATATAACTACATACAATGGTCATGCACATTGAGAGGAAGTGCAGTGCACAAGACCAATAACTCTATCTTTACTAATTACAGAGTAATTGCCCTTTGTTACTTTTCCTTGTCCGGGGCATAACTTGAAAACTACTGGTTGGAATTAAAAACAACTTCATACAATTGTCAAACACAATAAGGAGAAGTGCAGTGCACAAGAACCATAACTCTATCTAAAGTAATTACAGAGTTATTGCCCTTTGTTACTTTTCCATTGCTTTCTTTTGTCTGGACCATAACTTGAAGACTAATTGTTGGAATTCATTATAACTTCATACAATGGTCAAGCACATTGAGAGGAAGTGCAGTGCTTAAGAATAACTCCATCTTGACTTATTACAGAGTTACTGCCCTTTGTTACTTTTCCTTGTCCAGAGCATGACATGAAAACTACTGGTTGGAATTCAAAACAACTTAATGCAAAGGTCAAGCACAATATGGGGAAGTGCAGTGCATTAGAACCATAAATCCATCTTGACTAATTATAGAGTTATTGCCCTTTGTTACTTTTCCATTGCTTTTTTTGTCTGGAGCATAACTTGAAGACTAATGGTTGGAATTCAATATAACTTCATACAATGGTCAAGCACATTGAGAGGAAGTGCAGTGCACAAGAACCATAACTCCATCTTGACTAATTACAGAGTTATTGCCCTTTGTTACTTTTCTTTGTCCAGAGCATGACATGAAAACTACTGGTTGGAATTCAAAACAACTTAATGCAATGGTCAAGCACAATATGGGGAAGTGCAGTGCACAAGAACCATAACTCCATATTGACTAATTACAGAGTTATTGCCCTTTGTTACTTTTCCATTGCTTTTTTTGTCTGGAGCATAACTTGAAGACTAATGGTTGGAATTCAATATAACTTCATACAATGGTCAAGCACATTGAGAGGAAGTGCAGTGCACAAGAACCATAACTCCATCTTGACTAATTACAGAGTTATTGCCCTTTGTTACTTTTCTTTGTCCAGAGCATAATTTGAAAACTACTGTTTGGAATTCAATACA